AAAAGAACAGTTAGTTTTAATTTAAAGAATATAAAGCATTAAATGACGTACTTAAGCCAAAATCACTAGACTAAAAAGAACAGTTAGTTTTAATTTAAAGAATATAAAGCATTAAATGACGTACTTAAGCCAAAATCACTAGACTAAAAAGAACAGTTAGTTTTAATTTAAAGAATATAAAGCATTAAATGACGTACTTAAGCCAAAATCACTAGACTAAAAAGAACAGTTAGTTTTAATTTAAAGAAGATAAAGCATTAAATGACGTAATTAAACCAAAATCACTAGACTAAAAAGAACAGTTAGTTTTAATTTAAAAAATAAAGCATTAAATTTCGGAATTGCTCAATTTCATCATAAAAACAAAACACATTAGAATACGTAAATGCATAAAAATAATAACTGAATACGTTTTTCGTCACATGATTATTTACTGCATTTTTAATTTGAGATAAGAATTATAGATATAGAGATTAAGTGGATTCAAAGGTGATTAATTGCCTAATCCTTTACTAATTCTGCATGATCAAACAGATATATAGATAAGCAAGTCAAATCCTCCAGAGGCTGTGAAATTATTCGATCTAATTATAAGAGTTACTTACAGGCATATTAAGTAAAGATAACGAGTGTTTAATAACACATGAAATTAGTAGTTTACTCTTTAAGAACACATGAAGCCAGTGTTTTATTGCATAAAACATATAAAGCAAGGGATTTAATGTTTAAGAGCACTTGAATCTAAAAACACACTGCTTAAGAATATATGAAGTACTCTTGAGACACATGGAACTAAAAGTTTACTACTTAAGCTCATAAAAACTAGGTATTTACTGTTTAAGAATACACAAAGCTAGAAATTTATTGTTTAAGCTTATATAAAGCTGATGGTTTACTGCTTTAAAATATACGAAGCTAGAGGTTTACTGTTTAAGATCTTATAAAACTAATAATTTATTGTTTAAGATTAGGACACTAGAAGCTGACCTTGTCAGACAGTGAACTATCCCTGGAACTAATACCAATAACAGGAATGTTATAGAATCCACAGGTATAAGATACGGCAGCCGGAGACAGTTCCCCCGAGTTTGGATGACTTATGATCACAGCGTATACCTATAAAAGAAAAACGAATATTAATTTAAAACATTGAGGTATTCAAGACAATAACTGCATTTACCACGTTTAAGAATTAAGTTTAGCTCATACAATCGATAATGATATGGAACATAAGGTAGCCTACGGACTGAAGTACGATAATGATATAGAACGTAAGGTAACCTTCGGACTGATGTACGAGAATGATATAGAACGTAAGGTAGCTTACGGACTGAGGTACTAAAAATATAGAACGTAAGGTAGCCTATGGACTGAGGTACGATAATGATATGGAACATAAGGTAGCCTATGGACTAAGGTACGATAATGATATAGAACATAAGGTAGCTTACGGACTGAAGTACGAAAAATATAGAACGTAAGGTAGCCTATGGACTGAGGTACGATAATGATATAGAACTTATCCCACCCAAAAATGTATTTCGCCCATGTAATAAAGCCCATTGTCAAACCTGCAAGTTCATAAAAACCACTGACTCATTTTCTGACAAGAAATCACTTGTGAAACAAAAAACAACATTTACTTTATACAGTGTAAAAAATGCAATGACCAATATTTAGGACATAACAAACAACTTTTAGAGAATGTTTCAACAACCATAAATCTTCTATTAATACCACAAAAAGATCTTCCTGTTGCTCAACACTTTAACCAACCCAGTCATTCCATTAACGATGTTACTCTCACCGGCATTGAAACAGGATTCAATACTAAAGCAGATAGAGAAATAAAAGAAGCTTATTGGATTGCTAATCTAAACACTGTTCAATCTTTCATAATTAATCTAGATCCTGGAATCAGTGATATCCTTTCATTGGTTTCGTCTCTGTCAGAAAAATAATTTTTATTCTTTGCTCATTTTGTTTATGTAATGTGAACGCTGAATTTCCTAAAACTTACTATTTATTTAAGATAATTTTCCATACCTGTTTTTATAAATTGATTAGCATAACATATCATTTTCAATCAGTCTCCAGGTGTCACCTTTATTTTACTTAAACACTTAAGTATAGTTTTAAATAAATATATATATATTTATCCATTTCTAAGGTAAAATATCCCTAACACCTTTTCACATACACTCTCTCTATCGGCTACACTGTACCGGAAATGAAATGCTTACAACAGTACGTAGAGAAATAGACTAAACATTTCCTGGAAAACCGGATGACCTTCATGACGTCACTAAACTTCCTTTATATATATATATCACTCATTCTATTACACCACCATTCCCAGTTTGTCCCTGAAGAAGAAAGGTCCACCTTTCGAAAGCGCTCGGGTTACAAGGTTTTTATTCATTTCGATATAGAGCATAAGGTAACCTATGGACTGAGGTACGAAAAATATGAGGCAAGTAGTAGATCACTTATAATCTACGATTTGAAGCTGGAGATGCCCAGGAGATGGAAAGTTTAGAGAGTTTTATGGTACATATATTATAGGGCAAATATATATAGATAGTATACTGACAAGAAGGTAACCTACAATATGAATGATATCAGGCAAAAGATGAAATATTGTTGACTTGTGGTATGAGAGATAAGAGGCAACAAGGAGGTTACACCACTGTTATCGTTATGAGAGTAGTCCTCTTTTCTAGTGTGACTGTTTGCTCCGGGTTTCAGCTTTAATGGATATTTATTTTTCTTCTTCCATATCACGGATACATTTGTGTATGTGTTCTATAACTTAGCATATTTGTGGATGTTTAAAGAAATGCATGCGAAGCCTTGTCTATCATTCTGTTCACCACTTCTTATACCGATTTCGGGGAATTTCATCCCTCATCATAGCCCTATGCATCAGTACTGCTTATTACTTATTGCCTTCATACTTCAGATAATCAGTACCTTATCTCTTGTCTTATTATTCTCATATCGCAGTTCATTAATAAGTTACCTCTTGCCATTTGATTTTTATTACAGGTTATTAAATGATGAATAAGCTCGGAGTGATATTAGCTTCAAAGAACGTGCTAGCTTTGAAAAAGATTACGACTATCAGAAGGAGAAACGAAAAAAGTAGCTACAGGCTCATGGACTCTTACCAAAATAACCCGTAATTTGATATACAGTATTGATAATAATTATGGAAATATATACAGCTAATATGCATAAAATAGCCACAAAAATTTAGTATTTGTGATTAAATGGTAAATATGTCATTAGTATTATTTCAGGAAATATAAGTGAAAAGTTGTACAGTGGATTAATATGATTTTATTTGTTTTAAACGATGTAGTTTTTTTTGTGTACTATTAGATTAACAATGTTATGATTATGGAATATTGCCCTAATCTGTCGCAAGTTATTAAAGTGGTTCTGATAAACAAGCAAACATTTGTTAAATCGATCAAAAATTAAATTAATGATATTTACTAATTATGTAACAAATTTAATAAAATAACAATAAAGAAACTATTAAAATGCTATATATTTAGTAAATAACTCATAAAAACGAAAACAAAAGATCCAAGGTATAATTATATTAAGTATGTGTATGTCATAATGAATAAATAAAATTAGTTGAGTAAAAATACAAAATAAACAATGAAATTATAATAACTTAGATTAGAAAAATGTTTAAGTTTAAGTGTGTTTAGATGGAAACCTCTTAAGTATTAGATCTGGATGGAAAGCTTCGTAAACCTAATTGTATGATGAATTGGGGTTCCTTTGAGCATTGGCATCACTTTCTTTACAAAGTACCCACTCTTTTGAACCGATAGGAAATAAAAGAAGAACTGAGTGACTAGAACAAAGTACAATATTTTGACATAATCGTAAAAAATTAATTCATTTTTGTTTAACACTTAGAGAGGAAGTTTTCGTGAACTCCCTTCACCTGACGAAACCCTTTCACATTGGATAACAAGTGATTAATATCAGTGAGTTAGGGTCACTTTGATTTGTTAGTCATGGCTCATGTTGACAAGTTTATTGTGGTTAGGGAAGCTGTGTTTCATTGGTAATAAGTGATTACATGATCGTCATAGAAACGATGTATAAACGACAGATCAGGTAAGCTATTTCTTATTGTCTGGACTATAGTAGCGATGTTCACTAATAAGTTGTGAGTGATTAGGAAAAGAAGTTGGAATCAGACAATAAGCTTTGGATCCAGATATAAATAGTTTTAAGCTTGTCTAATAAGTTGTGGGTGATTAGGAAGAGAAGTTGGAATCAGACGATAATCATTGGATCTAGATATAAATGGTTTTAAACTTGTCTAATACTCACGTTTCGTTAATTCTAGTCGTTGGTATTTCATAGGTGTAAACATGCTGGTAACTTCAATGTGCTAGACAAAGCCTAACCATTGTTGAAAGAGTAAAACTCCGAAATAACCTCCAAGTCATAATTAATGAAACCTACTTTTAACTTTTTTAACCTTAAAAACACTGAATGATTAAATCATCATGAAATTTATACTAATCCTTAATCAATGCGACCTTGCGTGCCCTTTGGGGTTGCAAATAATGTTTGAAATAATTTTCGTTGTTTTTTTCTGATTGGCTCCATTATACCATGCGGCCGGCATCGTAATCTTTGTTAAACTTGTTGAAGGCTCGGCTGTTTCGTCGCAGCATAGAAAATTGTACAGATTAAAAAACAAAAGAACCGAGAAGCACAACCACCCTGTGCCTCACACCACGAGATGTCGCCACGATGAATGGCATAGAACGGAACAAGAAGATAGTTGAATGTTTGGGGGTTTCGCTACAAAATATACACTGAATCGTGATGTAACTTATTCAGTGCGCGCAGCTTTTTATTTCAAATACAAAGCTCCCTGATGGTAGAGCAAGCTTTGATATGAAACATCTCTCAGAAAAAAGCTTCTCAGGCTTATTCATATTTAATAAGTCGAAACACCCAAATTAAGTACCTTTTTGTACTGATTTCTATTTTTGGGAGTAGAGTTAAAATGACGTCGGCCTTCCCTTCAATATTAACTGCGAAGCGCCTGTGTCATGATCATATGAGGCCCACGATGTCGTCACCAGCCCTGTCATGACTTATTCTATCATCAGTAAACATTGCCCTTAGGACTTTCCAATATAACTATGTTATGTGGAGAATGACTTTGTACCAATATGGCAAGCCCACTGATCAGAGCCATATTCCATTATGGCTTCGCTCAGTGGTGGGACACATGTTGAATTTAATTGAACATGACGTCATCCAAAATATCTGCGACCAGTGGAAATTCGCATTCTTGAAATCTTTCTAAGTTCCACAAATACTGTGGAAAAATGTCACAATTCTGGATAATAATCATGCCAGTTTGATATATTCCTTGCTTTAATAGTTCAAGTATATTAGATGCGTTCTTAAGATGCCAATCAGCCGTAGTTTGCGTTTTGACTTATAAGACGCGTTTCATATGTTTATGGTCATTTTACGTGATACACTGACAGGAATATTCAAGTTTAAAGGTCACCTTCAAAACACATTTGCTATTTTTTTAATATTGGGTAAAATAAATGCTTTCACTTTAACTTCGCGAGAAACATTCTAGAATAACAAGATTGTAAATAGCTTGCAGATATTTAGTAATAACATTTATTGGATGTAACAATAACACAGTTTGGTGGATAATTCAAAACCTTTTTTTCTCGTATTAAGAATACTTCCAGTAGCAACTGCTTAAAGTGGTGTTAAGTTATATTAAGATTTTTAGTGTAATATTGAGTCAGTTCTTTTTTTTAAAGTCATAATTCTATTTAACATTCAATAAGTTATTTCGACTAAAACACATATTCTTTAATGACACTTCCATCAATATCTGATATTTCTTGAAATGTTGTATACAGAAACAAGCAGAATGTTTTTTACATCTTGATTTAAATAGGAACTTCGTAGCGTTAAATAGTAGAAGCATAAACTTTTAGATTTTCAAGAGCTTCATGAAATTTGTCATATCATATCATTAGGTAGATTTAGTGAATTAAAAAATTTTATTCCTGTGTTTATCCAAGGTTTTGGCACGCAAGAACGTTTATTTAAATACGGAAAGGAAGATTATTTGTTATTTATTTTGCCGTTCCATATAAAACTAATACAAGTTTCATAAGTAATCATTATAGAGGTTACAACGTTTCATCTTATTCTGAGAAACGATAGCCTGTAAACATATAGCGGTTTTTAGGCTAGTCGTTTTGCTACATCATTCTGTTTTCTTGTTTAAAGTTCTAAACTCTCGAGTCAGATTAGCATATTACTTAATTACACCAAGTTTCCTCGATCCGATGTACTGAATAATTAGCGGGATGTAGCATGTAAGATTTTGTAACTTAATTGACCCAATATTTGTCTAAAGTATCATGATTACTTTGTTGGATTGCTCTCTTTTGGGGGTTAATATCACGGAAAGTAATTCTGACACGTAGAATACTTTAAGAACATTATGTACCCAGATCGTTCAGTTTGTTTTCTATCTAGTATTTGCTAATTTATTTTAAGTTGAAAAACATAAATATAAATTTTCGACGTCTTGTGAAATTCCTAAACCATAAGTCAACTTATATAGAAAGTTAATTATAATTCGACATTCCTAAACCATAAGTCAATTTATATAGAAAGTTAATTATAATTCGACATTCCTAAACCATAAGGCAATTTATATAGAAAGTTAATTATAATTCGACATTCCTAAAGCATAAGTCAATT